TCTAGCTCACTTTGTGGATCTATTGAAGTTATTTGCTTCAAAGATTCTAACCACATTGCCCCTGGATCCTCAATGTTGTCGTCATCATCATCATCAAGAGAGGGCAATGATTTTGTAGATGCATTATTTGTATGGGTAGGCCCTAATTCAGTAAGAACCCCAACAGAATACTCATCAAACAGTCGATACAAACAAGTTTTGACCTTCTCCATCATCAATGCACATTCCACAGGGTTACTGAAAAGGAGTTCAAACATGTGATTTACATAAACTAATTTGTATCGAGGTTCCAAGATCACAGCCACAATCAATAATGGATTCATATTATCTGCATGACCCCAGTACTTATCAAACTTTAGATGCATCTTAAAGCTCATATCTCCCAAAAAAGTATTACCATTGTTTCCAATATGCTTTTGCAACATTTGCTGAACACGAGCAATTTAGTGGAAACAATCATTTGATGTTACAACAAGGGAGCTTGAAAATTTCAAAGTTATGTCATAAAAGACCTTCAAGAATTTGATGAAGACTTTAGCATTTTTTCAATCATCAAGAATAGGGCCAGAGAAAACATTTCCCTCTTGCCTAGAGCTAAAGAATGCAATATAGTCATTATCTTCATCACGCATCCTCTCAAACACCTTTTGAAACTTCATTGCAGCTTCCAACATCAAATATGTTGAATTCCATCGAGTGCTAACATCAAGGCAGACAAGGCTCTTGGTTTCTATTTTTTCAGATTCAACCCAATTTTTAAATTTTAGAAACTGTGAAGGAGAAGACCGAACATATCTCACAGCACTTCGAATGGCTTCAAAACTATCTTTCATGTGTTTGATGCCTTCATTGACCGCCAAATTAAGAACATGTGCACAACATCTTAATTGTAGATAGTCTCCTCCACAAATCAAGCCCTTCCAACTTCTCAACCTCCTTTTAAGATATCCCAAAGCCGTGTCATTAGATGAAGTATTATCCATAGTTATGCTAAACACCTTATCAATACCCCAATCCAACAAGTATTGCTCCATGGTCTTCCCTATAGTCTCACCTTTATGATTTTCAATCATAACAAAACTTAGGATCCTCTTATGAAGCTTTCATTCATAATCAATAAAATGTGCCGTCAAACATAAATAATTGAAATTTTAGTTTGACGTCCAACAATCTATCGTGAGACAAACACGCTTAGAACATTGCTTCAAGATCTTCTTTAGCACTTTTACTTTACCAAGATATAGCTGCCACACATCTCTCACAATTGTTGTTCTTGAAGGGATTGGAAAGCGAGGTTCAAACTCATTCAACAACTTCTTAAATGCAGGCTTCTCAACAATTCTAAACGACTGCTCATCACAAATGATAAATTCAGCAAGAGCTTTTCTACACCTCTTCTCATCATATAAGTGAGTGACTAAAGATTTTTCTTGCCCACTTGTCCTACCTGATAACAAATTTATCATTCCTTGTTTCTTATCTTTGGTAGCCTTGTGAGGGTTCTTTGGACACTTTGGGATGTGCCTCAATAAAGAATGTGTCCCATGGCGTGATGGATCAGAAGCATAAGTCGTGTGGCAAAACTTGCATGCTGCTTTATGCTCCCCATTAGTTTCTTCTATAGGCAACCTAATAAAGTAATCCCACACCTCCGATGTATGTTTAGGTTCCTTTTCTTTCCTTTTTCGACCCCTTCTCTCAGCATCTGTTACTTGTGTAACATGTTCTGTGGAAGTTTGGGTGGGAGGAGCACGAGGGGGAAGAGAAGGAGGTGCAGGTGGAGGGACAGATTGAGGGGGAGGGGGAGGCAGAGGGGGAGGGGCTGCTGTTTGTGTAGGAGGAGTATGGGTTGGGGTTTGTGTAGGTCCAGTAGGGGTTGGTGAATGGGAAGGTCCAGTAGGGATTGGTGTTTGAGATGTTTCAAAAGGTGATGCAATTGAAGCTTGATCCTCCATGCTAGCATAACAAAATTACAGAACCACAAATTTCATAAAAATACAAAATCAAGCTTGTTATTCAATGATATAAAAATTACAAAGAAATACACATAATAGAGATGTAGAACAGTCATGTAAAAGCAATGATTATAGATTAGGAAACAAGAAATTTGCCATTTTCAACAACTTTCTTCTTATACAGTAATTGGGATAAAATTCATTTATCAAATCAATAGCAAATCAGATAAAGTGTGTGTAATGTATTATATATGTAACATTAATACATTATAATATAATCTATAACAATAAAGTCAGAACTCAACTCATAATTGCGCTCACAATCTCATATCATTATTTTCATCAACAAAGCTTTTTTTTTCAGACAGAAACAAATCAAATCAAAGACTAATATGGAAAAATCATGCAGGCTTGGAAGATACTAGACTCGACTTTGTACAGAGACATTGAACATTATCCAAGTTCCACCTTAATCCCAAGTGTTCTCATTATTCAACTGGGTTCTCCTATCTACTTTGCAAACTCTTCCTACATCAAACACAGGCATGTAATATTTCTTCTCTCTCTCTCTATATATATATATATATATCATGACAATCCAAGTAATTGACCCTTTTTTATGAATTTAAAAACTATGAAATAGGATCATAAGGTATATTCAATATGAGGCGAGTTCTAGTACTGGGGAAACTATAGAGCATATCATCCTCGATTTATTAGGTTCATATGTCATTATGTTTCCAATGAAGTACTTTTCTAGGTACATATATATTTTGTAACTGCTATTGAAGGATTATTGCACTAAAAAAATGAAGAAGAGCAAATTGAAAACTTGGGCATTGGGCAGACGCGAACTGAATAAGATTTAAGAGTGGAGACTGGAGACAGAGATGAGTGAACAGCAAAACAGGTGAACAGGACAGATAAAGTCGAAGAACATGCAATCTATTAACACGCACAGCTGGAGTTGACGAACGCTGAATGGACGATATCGTGCCAAACTGCCAGTGGAGACTGATGGCGAACGGTCAAAGAGAGTGACTATGAGAAATACTCGAATAGGGAAAGGGGAAAGAGGAGAATGACGGCAACCATAAAGATTGTGTGAGGGCCGAGGGGAGAACGAAGGCAAGTAAAGGTGTGGCAGTGTGAGGGGAGAACGACACGACAAGAGACGAGATTAAAGAATGAAGGTTGAAGATTGAGCTGTGTGGCAGTATTGGTCTGTGCTTCTGCCTTGTGGGACACTGGGTCGCTGATCCAATGATGCTATTGCTGATTGCTGAGCCTGAGACACCGCCGGGACTCTAGAGTTCGGACTCTGGAGTGGAGAGTAGAGAAACGGCTAGGGTTAGAGATTAGAGAATAAGAGGTGGGAGGGACGCTATCGCTAACTGCCTGACTCTAAGTCTGCACTGCAATGTTGATTGAAATGCTGGAGTTGGGCTGTGGACGCTAGGCAGATGGACTCAAGCAGACAGCAGATCCACAATTTGGATTCAAAAAAAAATATATGAACACATTTCGGGCTGGGCCAAACAGGCAGGGCAGCATACCTTGCCCGTTGCCCAGCCCTGCCCGAATATCAGCCCAGCCCAAAAATGCCCAAATCATGTTGGGCTATTTTTTTTGGGCCGGGCTAGGCAAAATTTTATCGGGTTTGGGCCGGCGTGTCGGGCAACCGGGCTCCATGAACACCCCTATGTAAGAGTAGATTATGACTTGAAAATTTATGAAAAATATTTATCTAATTACATTTTCTAAGTCTGACTAGAAAAATTATGAGTCTCGAGTTAATTATATAATGTTAATAAATTTATCTTATATTACACACCTAATTTTTTTGTTAATAATTACTGCATTACTTGTAATGCTTTATTAATTGATATAATACCTTCGTACATATGATTAATAAATGATATTATAATATGAATCATACTATTTGCTTGATTTACAATTGTTGTAGTTATAATTTATAAATAATATTATAATATAAATTGTAATATGATTCATTGTAGTACTTTTTTATTTTTAAAACTTACACTTTAGTCTCATTTTTAACATTATTAGGAATATTGTGTTAAATATTATAAAAGATTTAATTTATTATTTGAATTTATATTTAAAAATTTTAAATTATTAATTTATCCCTTATGATCTATTTACCTATCAGATCACTTTATAATTTAAGGAACTTTAAACAATTGTCTGCCAAAAAAAAAACTTTAAACAATTAAGTATGACAATCATTTTAAAATATTTTAAAAAAATTATAAAATTTAAATGAATATAAACATAAATTATATTGACTAATCTATCTCTTATTTTGTTAAGGTTTTTTTTTTCATATACATGTCTAAAATATTATTTTAGAAAATTTACTCTTTCCATTAAAAATTATAAAATATTTTTTAAAGAATTGCATGCTGAAAAATATAATATATTTTTAATATTTTAAGATGTAATCATTATCTTTTTTAAAAGTATCTTTAATAGATAAATTACTTTATATTATTTTAGAGTGAAACATTCTATTAAATGAAAATAAATATAAAAAAATTATATTAATTTAAAAATAAATAACTACTTCATTAAAAAGTAAATTTCAATTAAAACTGCCTTAATTTTTTGAAAAAAAAAGAGTATTTATTTAATTTATTTCAAAAATAATAAATAAATTATTTAGTATAACTAATAAATTTAAAATATAAATAGAAATTTTAAAAAAATATATTAAGAATAATATTTTAATTCAATAACTATCTATTAATGATTAAATGCATGAAAATGAAAATTTAAAAGTAAAATATATGTTTATATCTTGTGACTTATAAAATAGAGGAAGAAGCAATGCATTTTATATTAACAATACTAAAATAAACTTTTAATATTTATTTATATTTATATTTTTTAAAATTAAAACATTGTCGTGCATGGCCCGAGTTATAAATCTGGCATATGCGTAAAAATCATAATAGTAACAGTAATAATAATAGTTAGTTAGCAGAAGTAGTTTCTCCAGAGTCCGGACATTAAATAGAATTGAAGTGTACCCGGGTTGGGAAGGAACCAACGTCATTCGCAGAACTCTGGCTGCTGGAAGATACGGCACTGCTTCGGAGCTTCAGCGCTTCAGCTATGCACAAGCACTGGTGAAGTGAATTGAGCAGAGTATTAAATTACGTAAATTTAGTTACTAGATCAACATCTTCATCATGGACGTAGTTGAGTTATGGGCGATCTTTGGGCCTGGCGTCGCCGGGGCCGTCTTCGGCGCCGGCTGGTGGATCTGGGTTGACGCCGTGGTCTGCAGCTCCGTCAAGGTCTCTTTCCTGCACTACCTTCCTGGTTCGTCTCCCCTCCCATTCTTTATCATCTCTTTTTTATGATTGTAGTGTTTCTCCCCATTAGGGTTTCAATTATGCGGCTGATTATTGTGTATTATGTAAAGGAATTTTTGCGTCTTTAGTGGCCCTGATGTTCAATTGCGTCAGGAAAGAAGACATTGATTACTCTCCCTATGACGAAGGAGAGTGGAGGTATGTGTTTTAGCAGTGTGATCATCTGATCTACGCTTCCTGACTTATCTGTTATCTTGTATCCAAGTTCAAACTCTCCTATTAGTTCAATTTAACGAGGACAGTCTCTTAATCCTAGCTGATTCTTTCAACACTGAATTTCTGCACATTCTAAAGTGGCTAGAATGCTCTTTTTATTAATATATCCGCTGTGTGGCCTTTTTTTTTTTTTATAAATTTTTTTACTTCGAGCCATTCGCAAAACGCTGGCAATCAATCTATTTGGAGGGTCCCGAGGCCTTTTAGAAATCTCTTGGAAATGGCGGTTTTCTGGGTTTTTAGCTCTTAATTAGTGATTTTGATATGTTTGAGTTAAATATTGGTAAATAATTTCGCATGGTTTATTGATGATGTCTATGACTCACTGTTCATGTCATGGACGTGTCTGTCTTAATTTTTGAAGGGCAAAAAAGTTGGAAAGAATGAATTGTAAGGTTTTGAGTATAGGCAGTAGCTGCGGTGTGGTTCAGTGGTTGCGTGTATTTTTAAGTACTTTCTAATTTTTTTATAATAATAATAATATGAAAGTTTTCATCGCAAGCTAGAACGATTGCAAAGAGACCTTGAAACAAAGCAGCAAAAGAGGCATAAAAAAAAAAAACAAAGAAAGAAAGAAAGGAAAAAAAAAAAACACAAGATCAGACATAAGAGTGCAACCATCTCATATCAAATAATTTAATTGATTAGTCAGATGCTCAGGAGGAGGGAAATGACATGACAAGCACCCGTTAATTTGTGGCGAATCAATAGTTTTCTGACCCATAGGCTGAGAATTAGAGGAAGGCTATGATTAAATTAAATAAGTAATTAATCTTTGGTAGAACTTTTCGCCTTTGATTTATAGGTGTGCAATTTGATAATTTTGGTAGAACTTGCTAATTTTCCGTGTATATAGCTTTGCAAACTTATAATTCACAAGAGCGACATTTTTAGTCTTTAAAAAGTTTACTCGGTTATTAATACGTTGTTTTATGCTTTATTTGCCATAGGCTTACCTTTCATGCAAAGTTAAATGCTCTATGCAGTACTCCAAAGGCACTAATTGTCACTGCATCTTCACTGGTGCCAGCTGGCAATATAAGAAGTTATCATCATGTTATACTAACTCAGACCTTGCAAGCAGATACTTGACATGTTATAAAGAATTATGTGAGAGGATGTCTTACCATTAACCCTTCTCTGTTATTCTGGCAGATGGTGGTTCGATAAACAAGAAATTATCAACTAGTGAATAAATTGATAGAATCAATTGTGACCGGAGATAAGAAGTGTCTTTATGTACTTTTTAAAGTCCATATTCTACGCTACCTATGGAACAGTTGCAATTAGCTCTAGGTTTTGGATCTTTCACTTGTGAAGTTTCTGTTTGCTACCAATTAGTTTGGCTTAGTACTAATTGAATTTTCTCCCAGGCTGGAGAATTCAAGTTCAAATTCCATTCGTAGAAAATTAACAGAAAAGAAAAAGGTTCCTGTTTGATAATTGCTGCCTATTAGTGTAATTGTGTTTTTAGGGCTTGTGGCATATTGTCGTTTTTCTGTGAGACAGAAATTATTGTTGGAGATGCAAACTTGGAATCATCTAAAGCTCAATGGTTGGCGGATATTTTACTATGTTTGAGACCATTGTAATTGTGAACTTTTACTTAATTTGCATGTGAATGTGAAATGCAAGGGGAAAAGTGAAGTTATATCTATGATATTGCTGCATGTTGCCTTTTCCACCCTCTCAACCAGAGTTTGTCACGTGAGAATCTTAGAATATGTCATTTCCATTATTTCAAGAGGTGACCTGCTAGTGTTCATCCAATTTTTCGAGTTGATCAAATTTAATCAGTTGATTTATTTCTCTCATTATAACTGCTTCGTGCAACAGTATCTAGGGCCGATAACAATTTTTAAATAGACTTTATGCATATTTGAATGTGTTTTGTCAGCATCTGTTCAATGTTATTAATCACTCTATGATGAACTTGCCTTATTTCCATATTATGTTTTTTGTTGTGTAGCCCGAAAATGGCAAAAGAAGAATAACATTACTCATTGGTTGCCATGAGGATTAGTTTTAATTATTTCTTGTTAATAGGTTGAAGCTGTGGCTCTTCTTTGCATATGTTATATCTTTTGTTTCTTTAGCTGCATCAGTCGGTCTACTCATTCAAGACTCAATTGATAAATCTGCCCCTTCAGTGTGGACGGGAGCTGCAGGTGTTTTGCAGTGTGTGCTTGTCTTAATCAGGTAAGTGATGTTTAAAGCATTTCATTATTGGTTTTAAATAATATTCTGCTCCTTCTTGCCGCCACTAAGAAATTCTTAGAGTGCACGTACGCCCATCATTCTGGTTTGCTCCATACTCCCATCATCCTGACTGTTGTGTCCTTGTCTACCTGCCCCTGGTTCACTTCAGAATTTTCCTCTTTACATAAGCTACAAGTTCTTTTACGTTCTACTTGTAGTGGTTCTGTTTTGCTCGTTGGATATAAGAAATTGGAAGAATGACAATTAAGTCCTTCACTCTTTTGTTTAGAGATTAATGACAGACAAGTTTCTTGAATTTGTAAAACGACAAACAAGATTCAAGGTCTTTAGGTGTCAACTAAAAAGGAAAACAAGCTTGATAAACAAAAATGTTCTTGCTCGATCAGCTACATAGTTCAATTCTAAATTTTGAAGTAAATATTAAACAATCGAGTTGTAAGTCTGGACAGAGGAGTTGCAAGTTATACCAAAACCTTTTTATGAGGATATAATGTCAACTCGATTTCAATTAAAATCGTGTAGACTTTACAACTCAATTTTACATCGTATATGGAAACGGGTTTTTGGATTGCATCAAAAGTGGGTCTGTCAATAACTAAATGTCTATGAAGAGCAGGCGTATTCAAAGATTCAATTTGCTTTGACTTGATTTTGGATTAGAACCAAGCTGAACAGGTGAATTTTGCAAGATAGAAATTGATCTTAGGTTATTGTCAGTTTGGCTCATTTTATTTTTTATTTTTTCCTGATTTGATAAGTACTAGTAGGCACATCACTGCTCTCTCTATAACTCACTCGCGCTGTGGCTAATTACAAACAAAAGTAATTATTAGTACACCTTCATGTCAAACCTCAATAAGCAGGAGGCATGTCACTACTGAACAAGCACCTATCTGTATCTGGCGACTACACAAATAGTCATGGATGATATTGTAGAAGTTGGCGGAATTAAAAAAAAAATTCATTGGTTTGTTTTTAAATTGAAAATCAAACGGATTTATTCAATTTTGACGTGTGAAAATTTTTTTGGATTTTTTCTCTTTAGTGGATTTAATTTAGTTCATTCGATTTGGTTTTATTTTGAATAGCCTTAATAAAAATGAGTGCCCTACCTATTTACAGACCATTGCGTGGCTCTTAACCTGTTGCTTGAATTGCCGGTTAACTCAAACTTTTGGATGCAGTGGGCTAATTTATTGGACTTCTCATCCCGAATGAGGCGAACCGAGCTATTATTTAGAGCGTCATCATTGTAAAAGGATATTCACCGTGCCTTGTCCTTCTTTAAAGGGACGGGGTATACCGGCTCTCGTGGATCAGTAAATGTAAATTGTGCATATTCTTGACTCTTGGCTGCATCGGGGTGTGTTCATCTTGCTTGTTATACAAGGTTAACGAAAGATTCGACCAGTTCCTCTCAGTCGGGTGTTGAATAGTCGAGATGTTACTTTTTTTTAAAAAAAAAAAAAATTGAACTCGTGGCACGCTCGAGTTTTAAATTTTATCCCCCTTTTCAATCAAATTGTGGGTATTTATTCTATCAGAAGACAGCAAAGTTTGCTTTAGAATTAATTTATATTAGGTTAAGGATGCTAGGCATTGACGATTAGACATTTGATTTGATATTTACTTTCCAAGAAATAAACCACGCCCAGTTCGGTTCGCTGACATTAAGGTAAAAACATTAATAAATCCAGGGTTTTTTTTTTTAATTGTTCAAGATATCTCGATGGTTGGCAGCTATGAGACTAAGGGTCAATTTGATTATGAAAAAATTAATTTATATAATTAATTTGAAATATAATTTATCATGGTATGTGGTATATAATGGATTAATATGATTGATTTTAATGAAAAATTTAAAAATAAAATTAAAAATAAAGTAAAATTATGGTTTTGTAAAAATATATTTAAATATTTATGTTATATATTAAAATTAATTATGAATTTAAAATCATGTTTTTTAAAAAATATTCAAACACTCATTATACATATTAAAATTAATTATAAACTTAAAATTATAATTTTTTAAAAATATTTAAATACTCTCATACATGTCAAAAATCAATTATAAATTTAAAATTACAGTTATATCATAAATTATTAATACTTACTTTTTAATTTCACGTTTTCAATTTTACATTTCTACGAATTTATCCAAAAATCATATAAATTATAATACAAATTATATTTTTTTGATTCATAATTAATTGACATAATAAGAGATGTTTGAATATTTTTAAAAAAAACTATAATTTTAAATTTATAATTAATTTTAGTATGTATAATAAGCGTTTGAATATTTTTTAAAAACATAATTTTTAATATATAATTGATTTTAATATGTACAAGTACTTGAGTAATTTTTGCCAAAACATAGATTTCGTATAATCAATTGATCTTGAACGTAAATCTAAACAGGCACTAACTTATCAAAGAATCTGGCTTTTAAGGGGTTGTTTTTTTTTTTTTTCAAGTGATGTTTTTTTTTTATACAATTCCAGAAATTAAACTCTTAATGGGTTTCTTGTTTCGTATTATACGAGACATGCAGAAGAACACCCACCCTTGTGCCTTGTGATGTTCCTCAGTTACTAATTTTTGTATTTTAAATCACATCTAAAGACCAATTAAGAATATTTATTGTGCAAAAAAATCAAACAACTTTAAATTACTTAGCAAGATGAAGGGGTTTTTTTATGTGATTTGCCCTTAAAAATACACTCAAATTATCTGATAGCACTAAGATTTTTTTTTTTTTTTTTTACTTGAAGTATGATTTCGAAAGATAAAAACAAGACACAACCACCAAGGCCAAGAAAAAGAAAATCAAACTAGGACAAGATGAACAAAGAACACCAAAGCAACACATCACCTAAAAATGACCAAACAAACAGTTGAAGCCAAAACCTTGCAGATTTGAGGAGTGTAGACCAAGCTCTTACCTAATATGATCGTAAGATGGCAGACAGAGGGTGGTTGCCTGAGGACATACTCAATCGAGCCCACCTTCTACACCAATGCTGGCAACAAATTGCAACTCAAATAAACCTCAAAAATTGAGGTAATGGAGACTTGAAAGTCATAAATAACTTCCAGAATAAGATGTTCATAGTAGAGACAAGCTCGTCAAAACCATAGACAAAAATAGTCCACACGGAAAGGCAGAAATAAAAACAAAAAGACACAGAGAACACAAGACAGAAATAAAACAAACAACAAAAGTCTAAACAAAGCAAAAGGGGGCGACTAAAAGAAGAAAAGTTGATCCAAAAAGCCCCCATCCCTAGCCACAAGCCACCAAGCCTTCAAAAAAAAAAAATCATAGGACCTTCTTGCAGAATAGGATCTCGCTTCCTAGCTCCTTGCTTCATCATTGCCGCAACATTTCGATTCTCTTTTGGCCAAAACCACCATTGATCCCCTATTTTTCCTTTATTGAAGATCTATCCGCTCTTACTCTGACAATTAGAGAGGACCCACTAAAGACCTTTGCCGCCATCACCAAACCCTAGCCACAGCTGAGAGAACCATCCAAACAACAGTACAGAAACTCTCCTGTAAGGAGAAAAAGAGCTCACCCTAGAAAGGGCGAAGGACGGAGGAAGGAGAGGAGTCCTTTTTGTTGGCAATAAGATTCAAACTTGCATCTTCAAACATTATTAGTCAAATTTTTATCAGCTGAATTTTTTAGCCAAGTTGTCTAGAGTTTACTTACTGTGACCAAATAAAATGTCACTGTGGTGCAGATAGAAAAAAAAAAAAAGTCAATTAGGTGTCAAGTAGTTTGATCATAATACAGCTCACAAAAAGCCTCAAATTTTCCTTATAACGTGTTGAAGAACACATTCCTTCAAAGAACCATCCTCCATCCACCAAACTCGAGCAAAATTGAAATTCATCTCCCTTCCATGAATTTAGATTCATACTTATCAAAGGTGGCCTTTATTCAAACCAGAACAATGAAAAGAAACAAATATAACGCCGAGGCCAAGTGCTACATGTCATACGATCGCAATTTTTTTTTTTTTTTGTGTAGCTTCATCTTCCCAGTTACAATAATAAAGGCATGTTCAACGATGCCAAAAAACTTACACTTGCTTCCTAAACACGGGAAAGAGGAGATGATAATTTGACACCCCAAAAAAAAATTTGATGAGTCTAATTCTAATCCATCTCTAATTTATTTTGTGACTTTTGAATGACTGTACGACAATACGGTGAGTTGAGAACCACACAAAATGAAGAGGGATTAAGCCCCCCAAAAAATCAACATGACCAATATCAACATGATATAAACTTCAAAAGTAGCTTCAATTTCAAATTTCCCCCGTAAAACTAGCCAAAAACTCGAACTTTATCTCATAGAATCAAACCCTCTTGAAGGAAAAGGACCAAAATACCCTAAAAGATGCAATTTCCCCGCACCTTGCAAACAAAATAGCCCTATCCTACACCCTAGCCAACCAAACCTATAACTTTAAACCAAAAAAGGAAGCTAAAAATATCCCGTTAAGCAAGCAGGATAAAGGCACCTGTAACTTATTGTAATATTTGCAAAATGCAGGGCTCTAGTAGAAACCCATCCTCCTCTTTGCCCAATCATCAGCCTTCTTTCAAAACAAAAAGAACAGAACTTTCCACCCGCCACCAAAAATGGAAACTTCAATATATCCCAAATCAAACATTATATCAAGCTTGGGATCCGGAGTCAGAAGTGCTCAATTCAGCAGAAGCTCCATGCAAGTTGGTTGCATAAGAATCCAACAACTTGGAGAGATTTGGCTGAATGCCTCTCAGCTTGAATGTGGCAGGACCCAATTTCATGCACTGGCAAATACGAGTCAACAAAGAATGAGCAAACCAATCCAAATTGATCATCATTAAAAAATTCTACAATGTAAATTGACAACCAAAACATTGATCAAATCAATCATTGTAAATGCCCTAAATATGTAATTTGGTTCAATCATAAAGCTAATCCTACAATTTGGTTGGCCAAGTAACTTAGCTATGAGACTCAACAAGCTAAATCCTTGCTCCATAAATAATGTCATTGTCTAAAAGCATATTAAAAGCTCAGCTATTCCTATTTATGATGAACTTTATAAGGTGATTAGATTAAAGTAGGGCATGAGATGTTCACCTCCTGATAGAAGGCATTGATCTCCTCTTCTGTGAGGCCTTCATCCTCACCAGAATTCTCTTCCCAACCAAGAGAACGAAGAAAAGCAGCTTCTTCCTCATCAGGATATATTGTCAAACTGGAAACTGTATCATTCTTTTTACTATTGGGAAGGCGTTCATCTTCACAGACATCACCATTGCTGACATCAGCACCATTTCCAAGAGCTTCAGGGTTAGCAGGAGGACTAACTACTTCCCTAGTTATTGCATCAGGTTTTTCCATGATGGTAGAAGTAACCAAGGTGTCAGAATCAGGAAGAACTGATGAAGAGTTCACCAGTGTTTTCTTCTTGATAAGATTGAAGAAATCATTCCTGCTCTGCGCTTGAGACAACGAAGGTTTCTTTTCCATAGTAGAACCTAATTTTAGGTCCATTGAAGCTGGCTTCCGCTCTGTTGGAGATTTTACATTGCTGGGGTTCCTTGACAGTCCAGAAGAACCTGCTGAAGTAACAGTAAGTTGATTTCCGGGCTTGCTGTTAGAATAATTTGTTTGGTTTGAAACATCCTTGGAGGTAGGGGAAACACCATTTTCCCACACCACCGATTTGAGATCAGTAAACTTTCCAGAAGTCTTTGGAGTATCAGATTTAACATTTACACTACGAAGAGATTGATTAGCGATGTGTAATGAGAGATGCTGTGGCCCACTCTTGGCAGGTACATTCATTTCAGCATTTCTAGCTGATGTTTTGGGCTTCAATTTCTCGGAAGAATTAAGAGCCTGACCAATAACACAATCATAAATATCACTAAGGATTAAGAGAAATCAAATGCAAGACAGAAACATAAATGACAACAAACAATGCGTAAACAAAACTTTAAACACATTGTCCAATTTTACATGAGACCAAATTTTCATTAAACTGAAATTGTAACTTATTTCAAAAACAAAGCACGTATCCATGTTTAGAAATATCTCTCATCTAATAGAGGTGTGATGGTATCCTTTTTTTTTGGGTGAAAAAACTGGCCTCCACAGCCCCTTGACAAATTCCCAGTAAATTAACACAATCAAATTAAGTGAGGTCAGCTACATATATCACACAATTGTGCTCTATCCATAACCAACAATTCCGATACCTAGTAAATAAGTTCAAGATGGTGATAATTGCATAATGCCCATCATCTGGGGGAAAAAATAAAATTTTATTTCATTCGGTAATAATTTTATTTTATGACAGTCATCAAAGTCATAATTTATTAAAATTAAAAGCAACAAAAATATAAGAAAGCTAAAAGCATGTACCAGGAGGGATCAAACTGATCCTGACTGTTAACCAGGACAACAAAAACCATCAGATAATGCTAGTGAGTAGTAGCCTGCTGCCCCAGTAACATTCTAAAAACCGGGGAGAGGATTAAACTTGAATGAGGCAACAAGAATAGGAATTAAAAATACTTTTATTTATTCACTGTAGAAATTATGCGAGTGCCTTTCATCAAGAGAGAACAGAAGAAATAATAATAAATTAATAACTAATAAACAACTTGTAATTCCCATATTTACGGATTTACCACAGTATCCTTTGATATACAATATCATATAGGAACCAATTAAATTAAAGTAGCAAAGTTTTGGTGTATGATTTCTTCACATGGAAGGTTAAGAATAAAAACTAATAATACTCAACCCAAAAAAAGCTGATAATGAGAAAAAATAATGAAGCAGACACTATCATAGAACATCAGGTGGCAATAATTTCAAAATTACCCAAACAGTGCCAAATAAGAGCGAAAACAAATTAGTTCATAACAAAGCACTGCTTTACAACTACCTTCTCATGAAGCAAGAATACCAGTAAGTATAACTAAATCAAAATCCTGGGGTACCTCTCTCCCTCCACCAAAAATATGAAGATTAAATATATAAAAACTAGCGAATTTAAAGTACTACCACAATAATGCATTAAGTTTATAGGAAACATCAAATGAACGGATAAAAAAAAAACAGAAGAAAGCCAGAAATATTTCAGAAGAAATATGGCATACCGAAGCTTTAGGCAATGAAGGTGTCATTGGAATTAGCTGTCTCGACTGTTTGATTGCCAGTTCCTCAAGCCTTTGGGCTTTCACTAACACCTATAGTTGAGTAAGGCCGCATTAAATGTCACATATAAAAATAAAATCATACTCCCTCCAGTCCAAAATATAAGCACCTATTAACAATAATATGCAAACTAACAAAATCCTAATTTTTATGAAAATATATGTCGTTTTCCCTTTTACTCTTAGTTTCAATTTATGATGAGTGACATGGATCTAGGTTAACAAATACAAGAGGTAAAATGAGGGGGGAAATTACAAATACAAAGACGCTTATATTTTAGACTAAGATTAGCTAGGAGAAAACACTTATATATTGGACCATAGGGAGTAATAATTATAAGAAAGAGGAAGGAAAATATAGTAGTGCAGGCTGTTGTTTCAACTACCTGGGGAGTGGAACGAGTACGGGATGGAGTCTGTGCCAATGCTTCAGCCATATTAAGACCAGCTGTTGCACTCGGAGCAGCAGACACAGAATTTGAGGCACCAGTTTGTTGTGCTGTTAGAGATCCAATATTACTGCTTCCAATTATTATAGGTACTTCAGCAAGTGCAGATGTCCACCCCTCTCCGCCAATCAAAGCTGAGCTACCAACAGGCAGACTCTGGCAAGCAGTAATGCCTAAAGTAGGAGATGAAACCCTCCCTATTTCAGCAGCTCCCTGCTTCTCTTCAGTTCCAAGGGATGGAAAATCCTTATCAAACACAGCTTTCTGAATGCTACTGCCAATACCACCCCCAGAAAGTATGCCATTGCCATGGTGCTGGTTGCCATTGCCAATGGATTTTGCATCCACTGCAACTCTCCTAGACAAAAGCTCGCTTTGTTTCCTAGGAACCAATGAATGAGAATGCCGCAATGTATCCCTCTCAGCCCTCCCAGAAAAGATGTTGGACAATGGATTGGAAGAGTCACGATCCCAGGGCTCCCCGAAACTTGACCTCTCTTTCTCTCTATCACGGTCCTTGTCATGGTGATTCCTACTAAAACTACTATAGGCATGCTTTGCAGAACCATTCATGGAACCCCTCCGAGAATTTGATGATGATGTGCGTTCAAAAAACAAAGAGCGAGGGCTATCAAAATCACTATTGCTCTTAGATGGTCTATTTCTAGGCTGATGGACGACAGAGGAAGCATCTACATAACAATAAAGACATGATTATATCACTATCATCATTATTTTTAGCACAAGCAGCAGCAGCAGCAACATAGATAACTCATAATGAATCCCTAAAATCTATATTTCTCTATATTTGAATGCAATAAAAATCAATAAAATACTAGCCTAAAGTTAGGATGTAAATTAATGATTCTTAATAATATTTTAAAAAAAGACCTGTATTTGTAGACGCAGAAGACAAATGGTGGGCTGAACTGCCAGCCCCAGCAACACTTCCAGCGCTTCTCAACCATTCTGGCACTAACGCAGGTTCACTTCTTTCCATAACGAACACTGAACATTATCAGAATTATCTCAAAAAGCTTGTGCGCTATCTTCACGGCCTCCAACTCTTGTACAGAACTATTGTGCTTCTATACTAAACTGATGGTTCCAATTTATAACACTTCATATCCCATATGTCAATCGAGGATAACCTGCCTGATCCCGAATGCTTCAAGAAAAAATAGATATACCAGCAAGACTGTATCCTCCCGTAGCTGATAAAAAGCAGCCGATATCTAGAGAAGCCCAAACCCGAATAGCACACGAAGATTTATTCGCCTTCAATGCGAAAAAAGCTTTAACGGCACTTTCCTTCCCACCCAAACAACCGGTTACTCCACCAAATTATGACATATTTAAGTCTATAACTTCTCAGGAAAAAAAAAATACGGGTATGTAAATGAATTTAATGAGTCCCTCAAAAAACTACAATGAGATATTCCGTAGTCTATTCCTCAATCAAACAAAACATGTCTTGTCACGGTTGATAAAACACGAGAATTCACTGCCTTGAAATTCAAGCCAATGTTGTGAAGAAGAACTCTCTACGCCTCCATCTTCAGAGAAAGATGGATTTGCCGATCACTAAAAGAAATTCAAAAGGACTTCATCTCGTGAGGGAAACACAATAGCACAACTACGGCCACAATGAAAAAAAGTCTAAAATTGCCAATACAGCAAGAACATCAAACTGTTCAGCCTGGAAAGAAAAATCCCTAGAAGCTATATTCACGGTCAAACACGGATAAAATATCCCCCCAAAGATTTGAACGTGGCAATAATGTAAAACTTGCAAGACCAGGGAACTAGGGTTACAGGGCAGAGAAGAATAAAATAGGGGGAAATTAGGAAATAAAAAGAAGCAGATAGGATTATGAAGAAGACGGAAACTAACCCTAGACGCAGTGATTGAAGATGATACGGAAAGGCAATCGTCTAAATGAGCGTGCAGAATAATGCGGTTTCAGAAAAAAAGGAAGAGTTGGGGAGTGGGCGGAAGGAATAGAGCGAAAATCCAAAATGGGGTTAGAGAGTAAATAGGGGAATAGGGTTTTGTTGTGTAGGCAGTAGTTCTGCGATGTGAGGCAGGCGACAATGAAAGAGAATGCGAGAGAAGCTTAATTCTGTTAGTTTCCGGATACTGAGAATGAGAAGAAAACGTATGAAGAAGAACCTCTTCTAATAAATCAGCTTTATTTCTATTTATTTATTTATTTATTTGATCATTTCATCATCTCTGGGCCTCCCAAAATCCCCCCTAAATCCAATCTATTCAAACCTTCTTGGCCATGACCAAGCCTGCTCAGCCTGGACCATCCCTGGCTTTTAAATTTTAAAAAATTCACATTCACCTCCTTCTCAAATAAATTAATAACAGATAAAGTTTAATATAAAATAAATTGTTATTAAAATAAAAATATAATTTATTTTTTATAAAACTTATTATTAATCGTAATTAATTTTTTTAGAAAGGGTTGGATATAATTCTCTCTTTAATTTTTCTTAAAATTTTAAATTCCGTCTGCTCCTTATCATTTCATTCGAATAAGCTGTAAATTGTCGATGCCTTGACTAAGTAGAAATGGGTGGGATTTTTTTTTTTTTCTTGGGCCAGAAGAAAGAAACTGGTGGGATTTTTTTCCTATTACATATAGATGGGGTGGACTGTACACGTCATTTTTGCGTTTCCCTTTTTTTCAATCAATAATTTTTAAACAGTTTAAAAATCTTATTGTTTGGGTTTAAACAATAAATACCAAGTATGTCAGAGATGTTGAGTTTCAATAAATAATAAAAAGTTTTCTTACTATAATTTGCTCGGATATAAAAAGATAGAAGACTTTAATAGAACAAGTATATAAATTTTATTGAAGTGTAGAAAATTACAAAGTTACTCAGCTCAACTAGTCTTGTGACTTATTTGAACAACGTTTTATATTCAGCTCAAACACTTATATTTAAAAAAAAAAACATTGCTTCTATGGAGATTTTATTAAATTAGAATAATATTAAAGGATCAAAAGATTGAATTGAACTTAAATAGGAATTAAATCAAATTTCAAGTGAGTTGGTTTAAAAGTATGTCATTCTCCTCTTATGATTTGTAACCTTGAAAACAAGAATTTGGAAGTGAGATTTGCCAATTTATTAAAAGAAATACTTACCAAATATGTTATTACTTGAAAATCACTTCCCTCCACGAATTAATGAAATCTACTTGCAAATTCATATTCGGAAAGTTATAAATAAATGCACCAGAGTAGCAAATCATTAGAAGTTATGATATGTTAGACCAATTTTTCTCTAACAAACTACCGAATTTTACTTGTAAAATATTATTTTAATAGCTGCAAATATGCAATGAGAGTATTGAATTTTTATGCCAATTTACTGAAATAATTTTGGTCCTTATTTTAAATTTCCAAATCTCATACTCCTTGTTTAAATTTATTTCAACCTTTTAGCCTGTTGAGGTTATTCTCCATTTTATTGGAAAAGCGCCAATTATATTGTGTTTAGTTACAATTATAAAAAAAATAGCCGTTTTATTGTTTAATAATTTTATGACATCTATTGTATATCTTGTTTATAAAAATGATTTATTGTTTAATTATTTTTCAAACCTTATGATATGTTCATAATTCATATATCTCAAAATTTTTAAAATTATTTTGAGAATATATCCCAAGTAACTTTTAAAATATGCTTTCTAAAAAATAATTAGATATTGTTTTCAAAAAGATTAAATAAATATGATAAACTTAACATTAAAAAAAAAAAGTTAACGATGCCCTTTTTTTAAGGAAAGCCATTCTCCTTCGTTTCCTTCTTCTGGCCAACGCACGCACGCATACATGGCATTACAATTATGACAGGAATGATTGAATGAACGCCTGGGGGGAAATAAAAACACTCACATAAATCAATAGTATATGGAGAGGATGAAACCAAGAGTGTGTTTGGATTTTAATAAAATTGATTATGAAAAATTTAATTAATATGGTTGATTTTGAATAGAATTTATTATGATATGAGATATATAATTAATTTATAAATTTGATTAATAAGATTGATTTTAATCATAATTAAAAATTGAAAAGTATAATTGAAAATCAAGTAAAATCATAATTTTATGAAAATATATTTAAACATTCCCGTTACATGTTAAAATTAATTATAAATCTAAAATTATATTTTTTAAAAATACCCAAACGTCTGTTATATATGCTAAAATCATAATTTTTAAAAAAATATTCAAATACTCTCATATTTGTCAAAATCGATTATGACCAAAAAATCAAGTTATTTCATAAGTTATTATTACTTGTTTTTTAATTTATATTTTCAATTTTACTTTGCTAAAAATTTATTCAAAAATCATATAAATTATTTTATAAATCATGTTTTTGGATTTATAATTAATTTTGACATGAATTAGAGTGTTCGGAGATTTTAAAAAAGCATAGTTTTAGGTACATAATTGATTATAACATGTAATAGGAGTGTTTGATATATTTTCACAAAACCATAATTTTAACATTTAAAATTGATTAAACATATTATCCAAACATGCACCAAGTGAACAAGTGAATGTAAGAAAAGAGTAAACAAGTAAAAGACGATTGAGAAATTATTTTAAAATATGTTAAATACTCCCTTTATATATGAAAAGACCAAGCTATCTTAATAAGTAAGATTATGTGTGCTCAAAAGAAACGAGCAATAAAATTTCCATAAACAATTAGAAAAGTCAAACTACTTGCAGTAACAAAAAATCTATTTATATTCACAACAATTCTTGTGAATTTATATTTGAATTTGAGAAATTTTACAGGCTAATCAAATAAAATTAACAACCAAAGATATGTAAATAACAAAAAATTTCAATTATTTATAACAAAAATTTTGTTTATTTACAAGAACTCATACTGATTTACACTTATACTTGAAAAAATTTACAAGTTAATAGAAAAAATTAACAATAGAGTGTTCACATATAAAAAAAAACAAGAAAAATCCTATTACTTATAACAAAAAATCTGTTTATTTACAAGAATTTCATGTAGGTTTGAATAAATTAATTTGACTATGTTTGTAATATGGATTGCATTTCTTTTCATAGAAACATGCATCTAAATAAATAACTTATTTTCTCCCTAGTTCCTGCTATATGGCAGCATGAACTGTTCTCAATCCAACCTTTTTACTTCAAAGTATTGTGCTGTTTATTTTTGTAGTTGTTTTTGTATTTGAACTTGCTTATATCGTTAAAATAGTTCAAGCTACTTGATCATCATTTCTACGAGAGCTTATATGGTGTTACTTCTTTACTTTCCATTTTTTTTCTTTTTTCACTGCATGCTTTAAGTCCAAACCTTATCGACCTCAAGGTCATCATTAAAAAAATTGGAGTTGTTGCCCGAAGTCCATGTAACCAGGATAATTTAAAGTGCTTATTTACAACTAGTATGGGCTTGCATGACCAAGCTTCTTTTATTCTCCAGGCACATTGAAATCATCACGAATTCGACGAATTATATAATATTCATTAAGACTACTATGAATTGAGCAGAAAGAAGAAAATGAACATTCATAGAAATGATGATTACTTAGAGTTACAACATTATGATCCTCTAGTTGAAGGATTTACAACACTCATCCCTTAATCCAAGGGTGATATAGAAACCTTAAACCATGAAGACTAACTATTAGAGATGAGTGGACAATTCGTAACCTGCCAAACCCACCCACACCTCATCAAAACGGGTGAGCTAAAACCCACCCATTAAAAGAAAAAATGGGATGGTTAAAATTATAGACCAACTTGTATTTGCTATAAACGGGCGGGGACGGGTTACAGGTTACCCTTCTGGTTGCCCATCCCAGCCTATTATATATGTTAACATTAGAAAAATAAAAAATAGAAAGTTGTAGAATGATGCATTTTTCTCCTGTCCAGTATCCACACTAAAAAAGCCAAAAGGAAGAGTGAGAAACCCTCACATTGCAAGCATCACTCTTGTAGCCTCGCTTATCTTTAAACATTCACTGATCTAAATCGTCACTCACATTGCACTTGGTTGCCTCCCTTACTCTTATTTTGGCTCCACTCTTACTTTCACTCTTCTCTGTAGTCTCTATCTCTTTGAGTTTCCTATCTACTCTCCCTCTTCTCTCCTGCCTACCAGTTCTCTTATCTCGAGCTCACGTCACATCAACTCATGGTGTCTTCAGCATCCAACTAATCTAGAAATCACGGCATCTGTCTTGGTGTCTCCCTCTCCCTCGTCCTGCTGCATCATGTCACCTGGTCCGTGTCCATCATCATGTCGTCCTTACCTTCTTGGTCGCCGGATCTAAAATTTATTACACCATCCACTAAGGAAGTTGACTGATTTTTTGAGTTGAAATTTAAAAAACAAAGCACATTCTGGCACTCTATGTCTCTATTTACATTATGCACAATACATACTCTTGTTTAGTTTTTAGACTCTTTATCTGGGTTGTTTATTTTATGAATGGCTGTCTATTTTGATTCTTGAAATGCTCTAATTTTTTTTGCCTGTGAATCACGATGCCTTTAATTTATTGATTCTCTACTTTAAAGTTCACACCTTTTAAATGTTTTGTTTAAAATATGAGCATCTATTGATGTTTTGCTTTTGTTTCTTTCCTCATTAATTTTCTTGTTTGAAAGAGTACTCACAAAACGGGTTGGCTCAACCTGCCCATACTTGTATGGGCTAGCCAAACCTATTTACAAGCTAGCCCAGCTTGTTAATAAACAAAATGAGATGGGCTGTTGGTTGCCCTTTCGGCTAGCCCATTCTACTCGTTGCATGCCCTACTAACTGTGAAGGATTTACAATAATGAATTTCCCCAATTCAACATAATGATGTGTCCCTTTTATATAGATTTAGGGCTACCAACTAACTAGGTAATTAAACACTAATCACACTCTAATATTCCAACACTCCCTCTCAAGTTAACACTTCTTTAACTTTAGGTGTTCAACTTGGCAACAGAGCATGAGAAGGAGGGAACAACAATTTTGTTCAAATATTAACCACAACAAAACACAACTAATTCATCGACTAGACCAATACGAGTTATGCACAAACCATCCTACACTTGTAAGACAAAAATAATATT